GTCTTGTGTCTAGTCTTGTGTCTGGTCTTGTGATGGTCTTGTGTCTGGTCTTGTGTCTGGTCTTGTGTCTGGTCTTGTGTCTAGTCTTGTGTCTGGTCTTGTGGCTGGTCTTGTGTCTGGTCTTGTGATGGTCCTGACTACAACACTGGGTCAAGTGTTAATCAAACATTTGACACTGTATACACGTACCTGAAACGGAGTGTGTTGAATGTACTTAAAGGTTGAAGGTTCATGGCAATTTTTTCTCAAACGTGATTTCCAATAATTTTTTCTCATCTCAAATTCAAGAGACTAACCTTTGACCATGTGAGATTAAGAGTGATAGCCCTCTTGGCGTCAACCAAGGCATGCTTAAATTTCTTCACGCAGAGGAAAGACGTGCAACGATTACTGTAAAGAATTTCGTCGTAGCGACTCTTGCGGATGGCCTTGCTGTATTGGTTAATGGCTCTGCCGTAACGCTTATGCTTGTGTTCTTCACTACCCCTATTCTTATAGCCTTCCACCTCCTGCGACACATAAAGGCAAAAATTCATGCATCAACTGCCGAAGTAATGGATGATTGCCACCTGTACCTCATATACACAGGTCAAGGATTTATTGCACATTATCGAGTTACGAGACACCATTTATACTTTCTGTTATCTCAACTCAACCGTGGTGTTGTTAATTGGAAAGCAATTTAATCTTGTTACACGTAGACGATTTATACATACGCAAGCAAATAATTGTGTGTTGGAGCAGTTCTGAACTATTACGTTTCAAACTAAAACAAAGTATAGGTAGGAAAACTGACAACATGTAGGTGCGTACAAATCGACTGGAAAGACAAACAAAGAAATTAACTTTCAAACTGAATATAGAAGGGCCTCGGGAGAATAATGGACTGAGCAGAAGAGTGTTGACATGATTGAGCAACAGGGTGTACCAAAGTTGAACAAAGACCACATTTGCTCTTGATTATTTGCACATGAAACAGACATTAACTAACCCCCTAGGCCCTTTTTGCTGGGGACCCTCCTCAATCCTCCAGAATCCTCCAATTTGGGGGGTGAAAAGATTAGATTCCCCCTCAATCCTCCAAAGTTTCTTGAAAATGTTACCGGCACTTGAAGGTGTGCCTATGGCTTCAATCCTTCAAAATCCTCCGGCAATTCCTGTCATTATGTTGAGGCAGTGCAAATGGCATTCTTGAGCAGTGCGGTTGACTCAAAAGAAATATCGGGCTGAATTCATGCATGACTGAGCAAGAGCAACACAAGGTCATACCCATGACCTTCATGCATGACATCCTTTGCAATAAGCCAAGCACTTTTGCCGTTCATCCTCAATCCTCCTCAATCCTCCAAAATACTTCAGGCGATTTTAGGAGGATTGAGGAAGGTGAGGGTTAGCATCCCAATACTCCTACATGTGGGGCTCAATGGAAAAGTAACTAAATAACACTTGACACACGACCTGCGTTTGCTGCATTCTATATAAGTGATAAAGAGCGTATACAAGTGAACCAACAAGGTCTGGTACCTAGAGTCTAAGCATCTCTCATATGTACTACTGTACCTACCTCTCTGTCTTCTTTACATAAAATTGTCATTTCAAAATGATGGTCTCTCTTTCTTTTAACCGTGTCGCAAGCAAACTGAACATCTGCAAAACAGGGAATTTATCCAGTAATTAAGGAGAGCTAATTTTTTTTTCAATGCAATAAGAAATAAACCAATCATGTAAAAAAAAAATCACAACTCAGTTCACAAGTAAACAGGGGATTACCAGTTGAAAGTAATGCTGTATATCTTTAGCAAGAGCTGTGTAGAGAAGTAGTGCCAACTTCTGACTTAGGAACCAAAATGGCTGTTTTTATCTGTGCAGTGCAGCATACCAGTATATGTACATCTACATCTATTGTGGTAATTGTCCACATGCTGTGCACTGACACATAATCCACCATTTTGGTTCCAATAATTGAGACACTCATGTCGCAACTCTCTCTTTTAAACAGCTCTGTCTTTGGCCAGCCTGTGACTTATAGTGAAACCAGAAGAAGTATGACAGACTCACGATTGGCTTGTAAAGACTGCCAAGCAGCTTGGAAATCCTCATACAAATCACCTGCAAGCTTACTTTAGCATGCCATTGCATATTTTCAGACTTTCTGTGCAACCGCTCCTTCAGATATTCATCAAATCATTACACCTACACATGTACCGTACATTGTGCATAGCCATGTTCATTTACAGTACAAATGTACATGTACAATGTACACGTTGATATAAATGTGCCGTATATTTCCCATCAATGTATCAAAGCACCAAACTTTCACAGGCTCACTTACAGGAGTAGACTACCATCATAAGAGCTGTCTTTGATTGCTCAGTAGAAGGAGAATGCCGTTCCCTGAAGTAACGATCACCAAGAAGGAAAAGAGAAAAAAAAGATGAAAAAATTAGCCAACTTATCATAAAATATCTGGCCTTTTTACAATGAAATAAATTGACACTGTGCTACAGGGGTGAGATTACAAGTGGACCATGAAAATTTCGTGAAATAGTCACCAGAGATATTGAAGGAGCCACAGCAGCGTACATGTAGGTTCTTATACGGCTGGGTTTGCTTATAAAAAGCACCCTGAAATTACCCATTTCTTGAGTTTTAGGTCCACTTTTCGTAAAAACTGACTGGTACACTCTGGACTTTCCAGATTTGTAAAGAGATTGTTTGAAAAATCAGGGCAAATCCTGACAAGCCACACCCTTGGTACCGGTATGGAGGTTATACATGCAAGGCAGCCATCATCCCGGTCAGTGTTTGTTTGTTCCATGAGTAGACCTTTGTGCGTATCCCTCCGTAATACAAGCCCCAACCGGGCAGATGGCTACCCCGCACAACCACTACAATTGACCCAGATGTACATGTACCTGTACATGTACCAAGATCATTCCAAATCCACCGATTCTGTGAGGCCCAGAAAGTATGTCTTGTTGGTACCAATGTACACTACGTGCCCAGGAAATGCCAGATAAAAGCATTTTTGAGGGGGTTACAAGGTTGATACACGTACATGTACATGTACATAAGGCCATCAACAATGCAGTGCCTTGTGAGGGGTGAATATACATGTAGACCACTTCTCATTTGCCTACAACTTGTATGGGCAGCTACATGTAAGGTTTAAAAAAAAGTCCCCTTCTGGTTGGTTTCAATTTTTTTCTCAAGTTCATTCAAAAGTGTCATCTGCATGTCCCGTTGCGTTTGAATAGGGTTGTATCGGTATTTTCATTTACTATTTATGTCTACGTACCGGTAGTGGTACGTGTGTTATTATAGTAACTGGTGTTTGGATAGCTGTGTGGGACATTTACGTCACTTTGAGAATTTGTGCTGACGGCCAGCCATGACTCAGCAGCTACACATCTACATGTACTTGTCGGACAACCATGACTGTGGCGTCAAAAGGAGTTATGTACCGGTACCCGTACAAGCAACAAGGACATACGGTCTGTTTGTTTCACCCGAGTCCGGATCGAGATCAGTGATCTGAAGTTGGCTCACTAGAAAAAAAATCACCAGATCTCGCCTACTGGTAGCATTGGGATCACCAATTGAGATAGATGATTCACTTGAAACAAGCAGGCCTCATATGGAGCTGTACAAGTGCATATTATCAGAGTCAACTTTAATGGTGTGACAAGTTTCAAAGGAGACTTCCCGCTATCTGGGGAAAAACAACAGAATTGTCAACATTTGTCCCACACTCACCAAAGTCTTTGAAAAGATACTTCTTCTTCAGCCAATGCTCTGGCTACAGCAAAATCAGTTTGCTACAATTTGAAAAAAAAGAGACACAATTCGATAGAAAATCAATGCACCTAAAAAATGGTTTTCCAATGGATTTTCTGGACACAGAAATCAAATTTTGCAAAAGACAGGATACGCTGAATATATGTAGGTCAAACAAATTCAGCAGTCTACCTATGAAGGTAATTTTCACCCATAAAAAAAGATAAAACTATCGAATGAGCTCAAGCAGGCACAGTACAGGCTTTGAAAGTTCTCTGTCATTTTCAAACCCAATGTGTAATTTTTGTCACTGTTCAAATTGATAAAGTTATTTGTTAAAACAGGACGGAAAAAACCTTGATATAAACTGTTTCATGTTGCTCAGAGTTACAGATATTTTTTTAGGATCAAAAGCTCAGGCACCCACAACTACATGTACATGTGTGTAACGTCTTTGAAAGAGAGAACCTGATAGTCATGGGTGGGTCACACATCACAGTTTGAGTTCAGGGACAACTCCAGTGAAGGTACACGTAAATGAAAAAAAAAGAAAAGAGTTAGACTCATGCCTGTGAAAGGGTAGCTGCAATCAATTAGTTTTAATACAAACCTTGAAACAGCACTGTTGTGTCTGAGTTAACCTTATTTTTAACTTTTGTTTCACAATTAAAAGGACATTCTGCTGCCTATTTGCTTTCTATGCTAGTTCAATATTTATCAACACAACTGCGACATCACCCCAGGAGGAAAGCCTAAATGTTAGGTCGGGACACAAAAAGCCCCGCATCTGTAGATTTTGCGACACTACATTTTCTTTTCTTTGCTAAATTACTGTTGATTATGTGCACAGTGAGTGCCAATACCGTACTTTTCTCAGAAAAGTTTTCCGTGTGTAAATTCCGGGTTCACAATTGTAACGGAAAAACCTGTGCAATGAACTGTGTCTTCCCTGGATGACATCAAATCAACAGCACCCCCAGTTGTCCAGTTGTCCAGGAAAGCATGGGTAATTTCAAGTCAAAAGTGCACTTTTTCAGAGCATTTAACCAAACGGGGGTGTAAAATAACGTTCAAGAAGAGTACAAAGTTGCGGAAAAATTGAGTCTAAGAAAATTCATTGCAGCTATCCTTTACAAGCGGAACTTTCCCACTGGTTTCACAACCAAATTCAGGATACAAAAGTAAAATATTGGGGAAAGTCATTTCGTCAGATAATGGCTGTATATTGAAAGGACCATTGTGCAAGAGAGCAGTTGGTTTAATGAGCCGGATACGAAAACGGCCTCCAGATTTACAGGACAAATGAAGGCTCTCTTTCGTGGTAGGGAAGATTACCTTTTTCTTTTCACATTTTTCACGGTATTTGGGTCGTGATAATACATGTACGGTATATGAACTCACCTTATCCATACTAACCGCCAAATTCATGAAACGTGGAAAATCAACCCCATTTGTCTGACAAAAAAAAATTGGAAAATTTCATCCATCATATTAACAAACGTGTCGAGACTTCCGAGAGAGATTTACAAGCAACACAAGAACCAGTACAATTGCTCATTTCACTTTCCATACATCAAATGACTCTACACTACGAATACGAATATTTCCAAACAACGATCGAGCCTGTCTAACTCAATAGCAGAGGATCAAAAATGATATTGCATACCAGCTGTATACAAGTTAATTGGTTAATGTACTAAAAACACAATTGAACACACGTACGGTACATGTACAATGTACATGTATCATTTGCTCTTGATTATTCAGCATCTGATTGCAGGAATTCCCCCAAAACTTGGGCTGGAGTGGCTTCACTGGCTCCTTTTACAGTACATGTGTACATCTAACTGTCTAATTGCTATGAAGACACAAGAAAATGGGGGGGGGCTTGTTTCAATGTCATTTTCCTTTAACTTCCAAGAGCAGTACAGTACTTGTCCACTGGCATATTCAGAGCAGGTCTTGACAAGTCTGTGGCACCTGGCGTATACGTACATGTACGTACAGTGTACACTGTACCGGTACTTTGGGACACGGTGAAGCAGCGTTTTGTTTTTAGGGGGTCTTTTTTAATGCACGTTGGAATATGACAAATCACACCTACGTGTACTTTTGTAGGCATGTCCTAAATCCCTCACCCAAAGTGTTCGATTGATGTACCGGTAATTATATGTAGAAGATTAAACAAAAATACAGGTACTTACTAAAATCTGTGAGGAAAGCAGGTGGAGTAAATCTTTCAATAAATCTATTTTGTCAAATTCCTCAACTTCAATAGGTTCTACTTCTAACCATTTTCTGCAACCAAGAAAAATGAAACAACATGAGTTATGCTCCAAATATGGGTTAGATTTGCAACAACTTTACGAGAAAAATTGTACATGGCATTCGAACCACTTTTCACAACGTCCAATGCACAAACTGGGCTGCCATTTTGCCCACACACTTTTGTCCCCTAAACAAGGCACTTTGTTTGCATGCTTCATTTGTCAGTTGCTGATGCATATTTCTTCTGCATCCAAACTAATGCCTCTGCATCTACAGGTAGGAGGAAAATACATACATTACATGTTGTTTGCTGCCGGTGCATGTACATGTACGTGGACATGTACCAGTACATGTATATATATTTCAAAGTGTAGTAGGGTAGACCTACATGTACATGTACACAAGATTCTGTATGGTTTGAAATGAGAAATACAAAACAAGAGCAGGAAATTTATAACCTTTACATGTACACGTACAATAATGTAAAGTACCGGTATATTGATCTACATGTACATGCATCAGTACATGTACGTGTACTTGTACTTTTCACAACTTTCATTACAAGTACATGTACACGTATGGTAGACGTACTGGTAGTCTGGTAGTATACAGTAATATACATGTACACCAGCTTTAAAAACTTAATGGACAAAAGCACGCAGCATCTAATAATAAATTTTCTTTTGGGGAAGATAAAAATTTAGGGGGGGGGTACAGCTCCCCCCCATATAATCGCACCTACAGTAGTTACAACCCCTTCATGTACAATGTACTGGTACAACTACATTTGTAAGCCTGCGCATACATTTACATATTTCCCAAACCGATTGCACAGTATGTCACATGACAGAAGGGGAGATCCCCTCACTGATTGCAAAACATCCACCTGCATACCTTGTACATGTGGGTCAATTTACCCAATACACCTACCAATACATGTACACTGTACATATGCACATGTACCTCTAGTTTACGAAATATGCAAATATCTGAATGGCCACCACTGCATGTTAAGTTGTTTTGGATCAGGGGTCCTTTCCTGACAGATGTATTTAGCATTAGTTCAAAGTTGAACACCCAAAAGATATTTGTTTGTATAACTTTGTTATTCTTTAGATTACTTTGAGTAGAAAGGCGGGTAATTCAGTGAGCTATTATTTTCATTTACAAGTAATATCCTCTCTTTGTGGGGAATTACAGCTCCAACTTTTAAAATTACAAGTTTAAGTTTATTTTATCCTTTGTCAGTTCTTCATTTTCAATATGGATCACTTGATTTTTCATGGCTCTGCAAAATCAATGTTACCAGTAGTTTTAAATAGTGCCCATGATTTCCAAAAAAAATGTCTGTTTTTCAAACTGTGCAGTGTGGTTTCAATGACGCACCGTAACCACTGGTTACTGCATGTAAATGAAACCACAAACAGCTAATTTGGAGTTTCAATTTCCACTTTACCAACGTTCATCCCTCAAATGCACTTGGTATCAAAGGTGAAATGTTTTGTAGGGAACTATGGAGAATATTACACAAAGTTGAATCTGCACTTGAGCTTAAAACCATGCTGAACCCAACAAGCTTGTGTAGGATTTCAAAGGTCCCTAGGGGGTTAGGGTTAATAGAAAAGAGATCAATCTACTGTAAATGTACAATGTATGCACGGTGACAATGATCTGAAACTACGATAAAAACGTTAAAAGATGTCCACATCTACTGTACAGGTACAGAACATCTATGTAAATGTACTGTAGATCTGTAACAGAACATGTAATTTGGACAGTATGGATCCAACTAGATTCTGCATGATCTAACCAGTCCCAAAGGGTACGGATTAATAAGATAATTGAAACAATTTACATCTACACCAGTACCATATACATGTACTATTAAAAAAGTAAACATTTAAATAAAAAACAACCAAATGAAATCCTGAATTTTTATAAGTCATGAGCAATGAAAGTGGGGCCAGACAAATAGGGTTAAACGAAAACAATTTGGTAAAAATAAAGTCTCCTTTCAGATGGTGAAAGAAATGTCCCAAACCTCTTCCTATACCCTACCAACGACAAACATTCTCCAAGAAAAACGTAGGACAAGAGCAATGAAAGTCTGTGGTTGAAAGCTGACTAGCAGATATACCGGTAAAGACAAATGGTAAAGATGCTCTAGTGAACAGTTTTCCTCTTGACAGGCCATTTGGGTCATTCTATAAATTCGGGGTCAAAAAGTGTGACATTTTTGGGTGCCCTGTTATACCTGAACTGTGTAATTTGGCACGGACATACATGTATGACTGAAATTGATTTCAAACTGCTCGTATTTTTAGTTGCTTGGCAGGTACATGTACCGGTAATTTGCTTTAATTTGATACTCTTGGAAATTAGAGACTTTGTTCAAACTTAATCAGATGAGACAGGGCCACGAAAAAAAATTGGATCACTAATTTTCTAGAATTACCCGTTTGCTTCTTGCTATGAGAAAACCTTGCATGAAAATTAGAGAGGAATATCAACCTTTCAATAAATTGAACTGAAATAGGAAAGGGAACAATTAATTAACAAACTTGATCAGACACCTGCGGGGCTCAACGCAAGATACCTGAAGCTTCACCTCCTAGCCTGAAATAACAAAAGTGCAGCAAGCATACATGTACAGTAGTTCACTTCACCACTACCACTACTCCAGCATACCGCATCAGACCACAAAGCCACCGTGGGCACAGGTGCTCAGGATTACATGTACCAGTACATGTGGCAGCCAGTGATGAATTGTACTTCATGAACAAAAGCCAGCTACAGTATGTCAATAGATGGATCCATATGCCCTGCTGAATTTTGTAGAAGATACAGTGTACCAGGTACATCCATGTGCCAGTGGAAAACCCCCCTGAGCGTACGCTTGAAAGAAATATCACATGACAGCTACCGGTAAGTACTGTACATGTACTGTCTTATCTGGCTACTTTTGAAAACAGCACTGATTGCTATGGCCTGATGAACAACAAGAGTACAGGTTCCAAACATGCAGCCTCCTTTGGCCACTTCATACAGATGGATGCTTGTGTCATCCTGAATCCATTCTCTGTGAGTTTCGGATTTTGGTAACACATTCTAGATATCTGCGTATTCAAAGAAGCGGTCAACTGGTTGAACTGTCCAACTGGATGTACGGTGCATGTACGGTACTCAGCTGTTGTGCTTGTACATACATGTACATGTGCACATGTACGTGTACACACACACAAGTGTGTAAACGCCTTCAATCGTGGACTCCCTATTGTTCCTCTTTTGTTCATACTTCAACTTTTTCGGAAGACCTCCCATATGTTTTGTACACGTTTTCCAACCGTGGACGCTTCGGCAACCGTGGACCCTACTGTCCCCTATTGTTATAGGCCCACGATTGAAGGAGTTTACACACTCACCCTTACATATGTACCAGTATACTTGTGGGGTATCTCCTTTTTTCTCGTGTACAAAACTCCCACACAATACCGAAAAAAATTTCAAATCACTGCCATTTCAACCAAATTCAGTTTCCTGGGTCGAAATTTTGACTGTACATGTCTATGTCCCTTATGTAGAACACTTCAATTTGCGACGGATGAATGGCACTTGAAAATTCCTCCTTTTTGAGTATATTTGAAATATCTACATGTATTTCTTGAAATTCTTGTGGGGTACCACTTCAGTACCAGTGTTATGTTCAGTGTTATGGGGAGACCTCTTGAGACCGTCACGAGATCCCGCAAGACCATGACAAGACCAACATAATACCTCTAGTCTGAATTCAAGTCCTCAGATGAACTGTGACAAAAGCATTCCTTTGTCGTCACTCACCCAGCTACATGTACATGTACACTGTACTCGTGACTGGTCTTGTGACTGGTCTTGTGATGGTCTTGTGACTGGTCTTGTGATGGTCTTGTGACTGGTCTTGTGACTGGTCTTGTGATGGTCTTGTGACTGGTATTGTGATGGTGTTGTGATGGTCTTGTGACTGGTCTTGTGATGGTCTTGTGATGGTCTTGTGTCTGGCCTTGTGTCTGACCTTGTGAAAGTCTTATAATGGTCTCATTTACAAAACTGAGAATAATACCACACCCAAGGCAGTTAATTGTTGGACAATAGTGTCCTTTAAACAGGCAATGCATACATGTGCATGTGCTGACTGTGATTTTCCAACCCTCTCTGACATGACCATGTTACATGTTTATCTGGTTCATACAGTACTTCAGGCAAATGTGACATCACAAAACATCTGTATCAAGATTCACACAAGTTCAAATGTGATTAACTTTTGCAAATTCAAAGTGCAAATATTTGATCTGCCATCACAAATTCACAATGTTCTTTACTTTTGCACTAAGCACAAACCAGCCTTTAACTCATTTCTGACAAATGAGTTTTACAATATACATGTAGACCGGTGCCACATTTGTACATACCAGTACAACTGCGGATATCTTCGTAGGAAACTCACTCATAATACTCACTCTATATGAGGCTTAAAGTCCGCCTCTGCCATCCACGCCCGCCACTTTGGGGGTAGATAGTCCATGCCATATAGATAGGGCGCCATCACCCGCATTCTTAACGTCCGAGCAAGCGGCCTGTATCTGTCTTCATTGCTTATGGTTTTCAGCCACTGCTGGCATTCTTTTTTGCTCTGTACAAAGAAGGAAAAAGGGGGAAAATGCATACTCAGAGTCACTTGCACATGGGTACAACATACAGAGCGAAAAAATAGACCAAAAACATAAGGACATCAAGATGGGTACTTTTTTATAGCATTGATGTGGAACACGGTCCGTCAAGACCAATAGGAAAGCATACCCATAAACAAACGTACATGTACATGTATGACATCGTTATGTTTTACATGTGGGTCATTCTATAAATCAGGGGTCCATGTTTTTTCATGTCCCTGTCACATCATCATTTAGTAAGTTCAGAACACATTCTCTAATTTCCAAGAGTGGAGAATTATTGCAAATTACCTGCCAAACAAATATACTGTAAATAGTTTGAAATCAATTTCAGTGATATTTCCATGTCAAATTAAACAGACTTATAACAGGGACACAAAAAGTCATACTTTGGGACCCCTTTATTTGTAGTATGTATATATTTTTAGGTCTATAGAGAGTTTCTGAAGATCCATGTAGATGTGTTTCTCGCGATGCTCTTACATGTACAACAGCATAAAAGTGCACCTGTGAATCCTTTACGGTTTACATTTAGTGTATAGTGCAGTTTTTGGAGGAAATTAAGAGCATATCACAGTGACGTACACGTACAGTACATGTACACATAGCTTCAAGCTACCGGTAGTTGACACAGTGCATCACTTTATAGTCATTTTCAATTTCCAACTTCTCCATACAGTACAGTACCCAAGGAATAGTTCAGAAGTGTATTTGGCAAGACTATGATGTACATTTGTAAACTTTCCCCGACCTGCACTGTCCTTTCACCTGGTAAAACCCTCAAATCTTGCTAGTGGCTGGTCACGTCAGTACTTACCATTGACAGAGAATCCTCCATTATTGAAATTCAGAATATCTGAAATGAAAACAGGATATAAATAACAATGATTTTTATCACTTGATGCATTGTATCAAGCTTTCCAACAAATATATGGCCTACTGAATGACTGACTGCAGAATACATTATCATACCCCAAACACACTAATTAAAGATTTCACAATGTGAATTTTACATGTACTTAGGAACGTACTGTACATCGTCTAACTATTCTACTCCTCGTAAAGACTCTTTGAAACTGAAATCTCGCTTCGGTTACTCTCAATGAAAAGTGAAATTTTGGAATCAAATAAAATCTCTCCACGCTCTGACAAATGAGGACACTATAACACTGTGTCGCTGTGATGTCTTTACGGAAAGACACCGTTCACTCTGGGGGTCTTCTCCTCCAACAGAAAATCCTAAATATGCTGACTGAGGATATTTCTGAGAAATACACGTACATGGTACATGTACATGTATAATATGTACGGCTGGTAGGCTGACTATCTCAAGGCAAAATGAACTGATCACTCTTAAGACGAGAAAATTCTGGAGATATCTGATGGAATTACTACTCATACATGTAGCTCAGCCTGAAGACTGCCATAAATTTCATTGATGGTAATTAACGGCTTTGTGCAGGAATGTCGTAAACTAACGAATAAAATGAAGGGCAAAAATTTAACCATTTGCAAAAACCTGGTAAAGTACATGTGCACATGTACCATATACAATGTATGTGAAAATTAAGGAAGGAAATTAAGGCCAACTTGTAAATAACCTGAGTAGGTACACATGTCCCGATCCATGTGCAGTACGCAACAATGATTCAAACTTAGTACTAAAAGAGGGAAAAAATGTCACAGTTGAACCTCAACAACCACACAGCACAGTCACCTGCTAACATCAACAAGTTCATTACAAGCTGAGATTTCTCAAGCACATTACAGATCTGCTAATTCACCTGTGAGCTGAAAACCACACGACTCATCCAACGACTGACAATGGTCCAAAATGTGGCTTCTTGAGTTCAAAGTTAACCCCAGTTGATATATTAGGTCTGTGAGAACTGACTTCCATGAAGGAAATAGCCAGAAACATCTTTTTCCCGCCAATGTACTGTATTGCGCAATTGGGGAAACCCTACCATAACTGCATGTAGGGTATTCCCCTAGTCACTGAAAGCCACCCTACAGTCACATGTTCATTTGCCATATGGCACAAAAACCACAGACAAAATGAACAAACGACCTAACTCTATTCTGTGTATCAATGAAAGCTTTTAAAGGTTGACCAATTGATATCAAGACAGCATCAACTTGTGGTTTACTGCATGAACAAGAATTCTGTGAATTTCTAATTCAATGTATATGTACATGTACTCGTACATGTTCATGTCCATGAAAGTCAGGAAAGATAAGATGGAGATACCGGCAAAGATGGAAAATGCACATGTGTATATGAAAAACAACACACAATGATTAAATGCGCCCAACAAAGCTCAATTTGGATCGGGCACACAGGCATGTGTGTGGACATGGCAAATTTAAAAGCAATAAAACGAGACCAAAAAGTCACCAGTTGGGACGGTACACTGTACCGGTACATACATGTCAAGTTCTTTAGGCCACTAACTGACTAATAATGGATTTTGTTTCTTTATTCCAATGGCCTTTCCGTTCAAAAGGTCAGAACCAATGTAAACTGTCCACATGTACGCGTGCAATATTCATCTGTACAAGCTACATGTAAATACAGTGAGTGTACCGGTATATTTATATACATGTGAGCATCCAGTACTGGAACCAAGACTATCTACATAAAGGCTACTGACTGATACATGTACAACTACCTCTGAAGTCTATGTGTCACACTGACATTTCACCATTTCGGATGAGCTAAACTGATGTCACACAAATTATGCACACATACACGCACACTGATTTTGTAATCATAAACCTACAGAGTACTACCGTACATGTTGTCGTGTACCCGGTGAAAGGTCGGAAAAGAATAATTTACAGATATCATTCAGCGAAGCTTTTAATAGCACATGACAGTATTTGGGAAAAACACCATTTGATTTTATTGTACTGGATGTATGTGAACGTGTAAATGTATAAATAATTGAATCGAAAAAAGAAACATTCCACTCTTCAATAAAAGACTGAATATTAGTATTTAACCATTTGACACACACCCTACAGATTGAATGAAATTATCAGAGTTACGCTGTTTAAAACTAGGGTTTGCGAACACGTACAAGTCGTACATGTACTCTGGATGCAAACATCAAATAATTGTGGATGTTCAAATAAAGTGTCCCATATTATGGACGTGTACGGGTACATCACAGTGATAAGGCCAATCACCTGAGTACTAGACCTTGGTCCAATGAAGCCACTTTGAACTTCCAAAGAGTTACATGTAGAAACTATAAGACACTACATGTACAAGTATGTATGTATGCATACACTGCTTGAAATAGCAGTAAAAGTATAACTAGAGACTGCAACCCCCGTGCAATACTTTAGCCTATCCTTGCAAACCACTGCAAACTGGCCAGAGCAGACTTTCCTGCATGTCCTCGTATTGGTACTTGTACATGTGTACTGTAACTCTCGAGTCCTTGGGTTTTTTCACAAAAACTTCTGGCAACCTGATTCTACCAGGATCAGAGGACTGATAACACCAAGCACAGCAGAGACACATGCACCCGCGAATGGGAAGGAGGGGTTACAACTTGGATAAGGGAGGGCAAGTCCACTGTAAAGGTGTAATTGTCGATATGGACAGCTTATGTGTTCCTTCCTCAGTGTTTAGCCTATTAACCCACTTCCCTTATGCTTACAAGGTGCACAGGTGCAAAAACTTTCTCAGGAGCACATGTACATGTGGACGTACATGGACCCATGTAGATTTATGTACAGACAAGTCTTCAACTGTTCAAAACCTGAATCTCATGTCATCTCATGTGATTGTTAGGGGTTACATGTACATGTGCCATTCGCCCTGGTAGAAATCTCCCATATTCCCCTCACTTGCAGTCACTCTCAAATTATGATGTATGCAGTATATATTCATGTACCAGTAGCAAGCTCTATCTGCCCGGAGTGCCAGAGTATGATATGGCCAGACCACCATCAAATCCACCGTCCATGTACATGTACACCCAAGTGTGTATTTGCCTGCAACTGGGGACCCCCTATTGTTCCTCTTTTGTTTGTACTTTAACTTTTTTACAAGACCACCCATATGTTTTGAATCGGGGACCCTCTGTCAATCGGGGACCTTATTGTCCTCTATTGTTCAAGGTCCCCAACTGAATGCAGAGACAAACTCATGTACTGTACACTACAGACACTGCATGTGCAAGTAAATGTACCTACATGTACACAGAACTCAGTTTGAAAATGTACATGAACCGTGGCCATGCTGTTCCTTGCTCTATTGCTGTATGTGTGAACAGTTGTGCGTAAGTTGTGTGTAGGCCCTACATGCATGTACAAGTCAGGCCAATGGAAAATTTTTCCACTGCCATGCACATGTGAATACAGTACACATGTTATCAGCAGCTGGGGTTGCCATTACATGAACCGCCATTTTTAATCTTGTGCCTGGCCTGGTTTGCCCCTTGATTGTACATGTACACAACTCATCCCTAGCTGGTTTATACATCATTAGTGGAGACGTTCAATTATCAGGCAGCAGATCTGGTTACATGTGCACTATCAGTACCAGGCAGCATGCATGTACTCCATGTACATGTACATGTGCATGTGCACTCCATGTGCATGTGCATGTGCACTCCATGTGCATGTGCATGTGCACTCCATGTGCATGTGCATGTGCACTCCATGTACATGTGCATGTGCATGTGCACTCCATGTACATGTGCATGTGCACTCCATGTACATGTGCATGTGCACTCCATGTACATGTGCATGTGCACTCCATGTACATGTGCATGTGCACTCCATGTGCATGTGCATGTGCACTCCATGTACATGTGCATGTGCACTCCATGTACATGTGCATGTGCACTCCATGTACATGCACATGTGCACTCCATGTACATGTACATGTACATGTGCACTACATGTACATGTGCACTCCATATACATGTGCACTCCATGTACATGTGCACTACGTGTACATGTACATGTGCACTCCATGTACATGTACATATACATGTGTGTGTGAGCAAGAGGAAAGTCCCTGCTATTTATGTGCCTCATTGGAAGTCTCTAAAAGGGGAGCAGGGAATTCCCATCCCAAACCCACAACCCACTTATGCAAAATAGTGCAGTCAGTGCCATCCAATCAGATAGCAGCTATAGGCTCTGTCCTCTTACTGATGCACTTCACTGTTCTGATTGGCCGGTAACATGTAAGACACAGCCAATTGGAATTTCCAAGAACTAAACCTGTACCGATATACACGTATGTTTACCTAGGGGAATAACTTGTATCTGTATACTTTTATGAATAATAATATTTCATGTTTGTTCGACAGGTGGCACTCTTCAAGCTACATGTGCCAGCAGAGGCGTACCGGACACTACTTGGCATAACGAAGCACCGCATCGGTCCTTCCATCCCTTCTGGGAAACATGAGCAGAGAAGTGCAAGCAAATGCTTAATATAGATTCTGGGACTTTACAGAGAAATGCTTATGACAATTACAGTTTTGGATTTCTCACCTGGGGATTTTACCAGAAAAACTTGTATGCACCATGACAAGGACTCTAGAGCAACTACACGTATCATACTCGCAGTATGCTGTGGGGTTGGCGTACGTACAGGTGCGCCTGCATGTACTTCAACTGCAGAACTAAGTTGAACAGGGAACTGAGGTACAGGTATGGTATTACCAATAGGTCTCTTACATGGATTTGTCGGTGTTTTGTTAGTTTCACTAGCAGGAAGCTTGTTCTATCATAAAGTACATGTATGTGAGTTCATGCAGGCCTAGCGTACTGTACATTTGCCAGTATTTAAAACCCTCTTCAATCCTTCACCTGTTGGAGGACTGAGGAGTGTTAGGGTTAAATGTCCATGGCTAACACTAAGCTGTGGAACTTCATTCCTTCTCCTCTCCACCCTCATTTCATTTAGTCATCGGCGGTCGGCAAGTCTGGACGGATCGATCCTTTCTTCAGGTAATGAACTTTGCGGGCACACCCCTTCCCATTACCGGTAGTCTTTTTCAAGCAATGGCAGACACCATACATGTACATGTTCATGTACATGTACCGTAGGAGGGCGCTATTTGAAGTGGATAAATTTTGAGTAAACACAAGATTTTACCAAGACCAAATATCGCCCTCCTGTCATAGTGCGTCCACCGTACATGTACATGTGCAAGTACACATACAGTACCTCAAATACATGAAGGTACATACCATAATACTGATAATTCAAACCAGCCCAGAGAGGACCATGTTTGACACCTGCATGAACGGTACACGCACATGGAATGAAGGTGTACAGTCCATGTACACAATGTGCATACATGTATGTTCTGCTATGTACGTGTGCTGCAGTCAAGTTCTTCAATAAGTCCCTTTATGATTCCATTCAGTCGCAGTCAATTTGTTTATCATTTAAGTGCTTGCCAGTAAATGTGTACATTTCAACGTTACGCATGTACAACATGTACAATGTATGAGTTTTACTCTGCATACATGTGCATATGTATATTCAATGCATAACTTTTCTGTGATCATAGCTAACACTGCTGCAGGGGATTTGGAAATAAAATAATAATATAATTAACATATTTCATAAACCATGAATAATTTGTCGTCGTACATGTAGAGTTCTTTTGAACACATATCATACACTATGTACGCTACCTGTGCATGTAAATACATGCAGCTGGTGCACTGGTTTGAAACTTGATGGACCGGTGAGATGGACTTGCAGGAAATTATGATGGTCTCGACTTCAACACCGACTACTGTTACTGCAGTAATACACAATCATGACAGCGTACACGTTCATGTTCACCTCTCACAGGACAGTGTTTTATAAATGCACATGTACATGTTTCCACCAGCACTTTATGAAAAATGCAAATGAGCAGGATGTCCCCATGACCTCCCACAAAGATGACAAAGGGAGAGACGCTGGACCAATGCTAGAGCAAGGAAAACTGCCAATACGTCAGATGATAGTCATAAGCCTGGAAATTGCCAAATGTTGCATTGTGGGCCTACAAGGTGTGATGTCCACTTGCGCGTGCAAACACAGCATGTCAGCATAAGAGGGGTCATTACTACAAGGCAATATCACCCAGGTTTGCTGAAATGACTGCTTCCTTCTCGGGGAAAGGAACATACTGGTAACTATTGTTCTTATTCACATTTTGGCCACTTACACCAGGGTATTTCAATTTTGATGTGGACAGATAAATTCCAGTAACAAATATGTGATTCCCTACTTTCTTTTGGTAATTTCTAAAATAACAAACCTTCAGTAGATATTTTACAAACAGTTTTAAAGATGCGTAGTGCCAAAACAGCCTGAATTTCTTGTGCAACATGATGACCTTTCACCACTCTGCTCTCGCCCTATGAAATCACTTGATGCACATGGCAGAGAATGACTTGCAATACGTTTCATTTCGTTTAGTTTATTCTTATTGTGGCCCAGTAAGCCAAATTGCAAGAATGTTACAGGTTCTCATTAAAATTCAAATTCACATGCACATTTTGCACCGATAGGGCAAGTCAGCCATAGCCAATTTATTCAGTGATACTTACGGAGTCTTTCTACCGACATCCGGTTTAGTTTTCTCTAGTTTTCCAGGAATCTCCAGTTAATGCAGCAAGATATGAGATGGAAGAATTGACTATTCCTATCGTCTGACTGAAAAATCGGGCAGGTGTTGGTGAAGTACTGAGCAAGGTCTATATATGGCACATGATGTCATTCCATTGTTCGGGTATGATTGAATTTGAACACCAGTGAGCAACCGTCGACCTTGTACTGTTCAGTTTTCTATGAGCTCTAAATAGCAAATGGTAAGTGTGTAATGTGCCCCATAAAAAGTACTCCAGTTTACCCATTCACAACCAAGACACACACATATCACAACCCATGCTTACATGTAAAAAAGGTGCTGGTATTGTAATGTTACCATTCAATTCCAGCTGAAAACGGCCGAAAAAAGGCATAAAGAAGCTGAACTGTGAAAATCTCCTACACTTTTGTACACAGCCAGTGAGGAAAAAAGCTGAAATCCACAACCAAAAAACTGAAATCAGCTAAAAAGCTGAGAAATCTCATTCCTGCAATTCGGTTCAAACTCAAATGCCAAAAAGGAACCTAAAGGTATATCCTAAAGCATTCACAAATGACTGCCGACTTCCAGTTGTGATCATGTGGAAAACCCACACAAAAGGTGCCAGGTGACACTGCAGTTGCTGACTAGAATGGACACAGTACAGTGAGTACCATTATGAAAGTTTGCACTGCAGCAGTATCCCATAGTGAATGGGTTAAAGCCCTACATTACAGGGGGTCCACATAAAAAGCATACCAAGATAAAAATTACTGTAATAGCAAAACTATTTCATATATGAGAAAGAGAAATATGTCTCTAGAAAGAGCAGAATGCCCTCTTTGCAATGGTATACAGCTTGTGATGTTATTGGCACAGATGAATGAACAAACTAGATCGGTGTTAAGGGTACTGAAATCGGCACTGTGACAGGTTTGCATATGTGATTAACAAGGCCAGACCATGCAAGTGTGCAGGATACCAGCTAGTGTGCAGCTCTAATTAGTTGACACTAACAGTTGAGTTTCATGTACAATGTACATGTACATGTACAAGTTGGCCTCAGTTTAATCATGTTAACCAGTAAAAAATGACTGGACTCATACTGGTAGTTTTGATCCTGATTGACGAGCTTGGGTAAAAAATAAATCTCAGGAACATGCTTCTGGGGTCAAATGAGATCAATTATATTTACCTTTCACAATTTTAGACTTCGACTGTGATCTGAGTAATGCTTGAGATTGTTTTTATTGTATTCATCTGAACTGATAAATATGACATTTCCTTCCAAGAGAAGGCAGGTTCTTCTGACGTTTTTCCGTTCTCTTTCCTCAACTATAACGGTACATGTACACGTGTGCACTGTATATCTTTATACTTTCAGGATTTACATGCCTGTTTTATGTATATGTATGCCGAGTGGGGACTAACGCAATGCACACAAACACTGCAAGATTTTTTGTCCAGTTCCGACAAAGAAAAGACAACATTTTTTTCAAGATAGTGGGTGGAGGTGATTCAATGACTGTTTGATGACTGTTGTTACATGTACAGTACATTTACAGTGTACAGTGGAAAGTAACAGCTGTCGTAAAAACAACTTCCATCTTCGTCCAAGAAATTTAATATTAAAACATGGCACTGCTATGCAACTTTTCATGGATCAAACGTAAGTATATTATTTTTTATTCGGCCCAAACGCTGTTAAACAAAACAGCACAGAACATACAATGTAAATACAAATGTATACAAGAGATAAATTGTAGCAGTCCAGAAGACAACTAGGGCAGGGCAGATGATGGAAAGCAAAGCAAACAAGGAGATTAACAAACAAAAGCCATCCAAGTTGGCCAGGACAAACAAAAGTGTAGTAAAACACTGTGACCCAAAAGGCCTGTTTAACTCCAAATGAAATGACTTTAAAATAAATATAATTATAAAACTCTCAATAGTAATTTTTTTTAATGCACAGGTACGCCATTCATTTGTGGTATAAGGCTTAAGCGTGGTTCAAAGTTATGCCACCTTTCATGAAATCGGCTGCTGATGAATTGCCTGTTTCTAACATTTACCAGATGTGATAATTGCTGATGCCAGACCCTGTCAACAAGTTAAAAGCAAGGCAATTCATATGTCCTGCATGTACGTGTAGCTACTTGGACTGAAGTAGTAGCCAGGCCACCTAACATTAGAAAATCTAGTTGCAGAATAGCTAGTTGATTTTAAGTTCTTAATTCAGAGAAAATTATTTCATTATTAAAAATTCCAATCAATTAAAAAGTTAAACCTGCATAAATTTTGACTGAACTTTTCAGCTGTGCAGCAAGCTTTCAAGTAGGCCTACTATCCCCACACTGCACAGCTGACGAACCCATTACGTCACATGTATTTCTACAGTTGGCAACACATTTTGCATGCAAATAATGTGCAATCCGAAACTAGGAAAGAGCATGAGTTCACTCTTTGGCAAATGTTAAACAAACAGGAATGCTACAAATCATTTTGATTAAACAGACATTAGATGCGAAAGTTTATATGACTGTTGAATATAAAAAAAGGGTACTTGGAATCAGAGTGAGTGGCTTATCGCCCCATGATTTTTGATAAACCATTAAAAAATGTTGAAATGCAAAAAAGAAATATGGCCAAAATTTATTTTCGAGAATTTGTTTGAGAACAAATTTTGTACAAGAAAATTCCACATGTCTACATTTCACCTTTCATACAGACATGACAGAACTTGTCTTTAGAACCAGAACTGAGAGCAACACAAAACTTTTGTTGACTGTCAAAAGAGGTAGGTTTCTATTTCAAGCGATCCAGAACTAGGAAAAATATGGAACGAGAAAAACAACTGTATTGTGGGATATGCACTGATAGGCCTTCATGATCATTACAAAATAACGGGTAAAATAACCAACATTATACAACATCTGCTGCCCGAAGTTGTCTTCCTTCCTACATCACATGACAAGCGTTCCTTCCTCCATCATGTCCATGGTCACAATGACATGAATGATGAATTTGCAGTGTGTCATACACGAAAAAAAATGCGATTTACAGGTCACCAGTTGGGCCTGCATCTGGCTTTACACGTACTTACCAACCCAAATTAATTCTGTCGAATTGTGATTACGGTTTCTTGAAGACAGAAGCGTGCTAGCACGATCAATTTTTAGTCTGAATTGAAATCTACAGCTTCTGATTCTTTCCTTTTGTCGTGTTCATATTGTTGACGTACCCGCTACAAGCATGACTTAATGCTTAAACGGTCGTCTGCCGAATACCACGTTTGATATTTGATCATTCGTCTGGCCCCCTGCAGGATTTGTCTTTGATAAAACTAGACGACGTCTGGGTACATGAAGCAATGAGGCAGTGAACTTTTCACTGATTAATATGCTCGGACTTCTACACGCATGCGTACAAATTACGACAATGATGGATAAAAAAAAGACCATTAATCTGCATTTTTCATATTCTTCACCGCGACCAGACTGTTCGTGCTCAGTCATCTGTGACAGTAAATTGGATTTCTTGGTGTCATAAGAAAGAGGACATCATATATAGTTAACACGACGCTGCTCATGCAGGATGTGGCTGAAAGGGTAGACCTGACTGCGAAATATGAGGAGATGACTTCGTGCTAAACTGGATATACTCTGACGGCAAAGCAGGGACTATCACTTTTGTAGTTAAATGTTTGTTTGGGATGATTGACTGGCATTCTGTTCGTAATAATATTAAAATAAATACTCGTCACCGGGACCACGTGATACTTAACCTCCAGTATGCCAGAACTGATCGTGCCCTCAAGAATAACTCATTTATTTCCACGTATTTGCCCTGGCGGGAGCAACCAACTTAAAGGCTTCCCTCTGATATTGCAGACTCTATCTGTCATCTCTTCAGTATTCAGCAGAAGTTTATTAGACCACTTGCAACATCCTGAATAATTTTTGTTTTAATGCCTGTGACATTTTGCAGTCTTGTAGTCTACTTTGCAAACTAGTGCACTTTCAAACTACGTGTTTTTTGTCTACAGTCCGATTGATTGGTCAGTTTAATTTGTCCGCAGTTTTACGGACGATTGGGATTGGTTGGGATAGGTCCTTTGGTTGGTCTGTCAGTCTTGTGTCTGTTTCAAGTGGTCTTATCTCATTTGTACGTTGTCTTTCATGGCTTGTTTTGTGTTGTATATCTTAGTTTTGTTGGACACTTTTATGGTTCATTTTTCATCAGTTTTGACCTTTTATAACTTATATTGTGTATATACACACCGTATATATAAAACATGGGAGAACGGGGTTGCAATGAGAAACATACCTTGTATAGTAATGCTATGAATAAAACAACTGCGTAAGTGTGGTGGCAGTTTCAAAATTAAACTTTTATAAAACTTTAGAGCAAGGTGAACATATCTTATAAAAGTCGATAAATCGATATCTACGGGGGACCTCTCGGGAAGGCCCAGGATGAGTCGCCCAACTGCTGTGAATGGGGTCTGTCAAGATGAGTTTGATGGACATTTTGAAAAGTTGCCCCAGACAGTACAATGGTGGGAGAATCGGTCTTTAAGTAGGCCTTTGACCTCAATCAACGACGATCAGCACGATGGTGCCTGGTAGTGCGTCTGGCATTGCACTCTTCCATATAGGTTTGGTGGGCAAGGCTGCTCCCCTGTGAAGTACACGGCGCCAACCTTCCCTGGTGATAGCAAAACTCTCCCAGTCAGTCAAGTTGATGAAGAAGGACTGTAAATCATGCTTGACTACGTCCTTATACCGCAGCTTTGGGCGACCAACTGGACGAGGGGCTTTGGAGAGCTCACCGAAGAGTAGATGTTTTGGTAGGCGGGCTCCGTCCATCCGTATGACATGGCCTGTCCAGAGCAACCTACGTTTCTGAAGTAGTGTGCGCATGTAAAGGCACTCTGTCTTATAAAGGATTACAGTGTTGGGGACACGGTCCCGCCAGGTGAGACCAAGGATAGAACGCAAACAGCGCAGATGAAATGCATTCAAGCGGCGTTCCTGTCGTCTGTATGTTGTCCAACCCTCAGATCCATACAAGAGGATGCTAAGTATACATGCATCGTATACCTTGATCTTCAGAGACAGAGGGAGACGACTATCATCCCACACCCTGTGCAGGCGTCCAAATGTTGTTCCAGCTTTTCCAATCTGTAGATCAAGTTCTTCGTCCAGAGAGTTGTTTGAAGTCACAGTGGATCCAAGATATGTGAACTTGTTGACGGTCTGAAGTGGACTTGGAGTTTCGAGCTCGGAGAGTGAGGAAAAATGCTTCCTAACTATTGGTGGCAAGCACAACATTCCTGCGACTGAATGTTGATCTTTATGCCAAAGTTCTGACAAGAACGGGCAAAAGCATCCGACAAAGTTGCTGGAGATCTTCTTGAGAGTGCACAACGAAGGCAGTATCATCAGTGTATAACAGCTCACGGACCAGAACTTTGGAAACCTTCGTTCTTGCACGTAGACGGGAGAGATTGAGCAGACCTCCTGTGGATCGAGTGTGAAGCATGATCCCGCTCGATGTAGGAAATGCACTGCGGAGCAAGGCAGAGAATTACAGCGTTGGGGCCAAAACACAACCCTACTTCACTCCACAATTCACGCTGAAGCCTTGCAACACCGACCTGTCAGATTGAGCAGTGGCCAGCATACCGTCATGGAGAGCTCTGATGATAGCCAGTAAAGTTGGTGGACAACCTAGGCGCTCCAATACTGCAAATAAGCCCGAACGACTCACATAGTCGAATGCTTTAGTGGGACACACAAAGACAGTGTAGAGGGGGCGTCGCTGTTCAATGCATTTCTCTTGCAGTTGTCGGTAAGAGAAGATCATGTCCAGTGTGGAGCGATTTGGTCTGAAACCGGCCTGACTCTCTGATAGTATTTGATTTGCGTGGTAGAATGGCACGAGGAAGGACTTTGCCAACTGTGCTCAGCAAGGAGATGCCCCTGTAACTGTTGCAGTCATGACGGTCACCTTTATTCTTGTAGAGTGTGATTATGCTAGAGCTCCATACTTTTTCCTGTTTCACTAACATTCACCGTTTTCTGATTATAGGTAAAAATGGCAATTGTACCCGTCTGTTGCAGTTTCGGCACACTGTTTAATTAATATGCAAGCAAACTCGGAAGGCTTTATGATAACATCCGCATTCAAAATCGTTATCCATACAAACTCGTTCTGGCTTTCTCCAAAGAAACGTGGATTACAATTTTTGAAAAATGCTTTCATTGCTTTCGGTTTGAAAGTGTTTTAATGAATTGAAAACGCACTCACATCGATGGCGGTTTCATGTTACAGTGCAACAGTTCAAGAATTAAGCTTGGACATTGACATGTAATAAAACGAAATGATTTGCACTTCTGTGTGTACGAAGTCTGCCCGTATTGAATTGCGCTTTAATACAGCTGCGACACTGACCACAGTTGGCCGCTTGGTCAACTTGCTCTTTGAAATACACGGTCAGTTTGTCAAATTTTGTGTCAAACACTATGTGTCCGTGCTCATTCGTTAATTAACAGCTCTTCGCTCAATACGGGTGTCGACAAATGAAAAGCCTCTGATCTATGTAACGAAATAATTCATCGTCATGAATCTTTCAAATGAGTCGACATCTCTTTCTTTTTCATGTTATAAACGGGGAGGGGAAAAAACGAAATCCAAGATACGCCCCTCTTACCCTTTATAAAAAGCTAAAAAAAATCTTAAGAAAAACAAAAGCTGTTTCGGCCGTATCGTGTAAATATCAACGTCACAACCTTCAACAACAGAATTGGGAAAATGTAGTTTTTATTAGAAGTTTCGTCAATTTTAGTTGGCAATATTCGTTCGTGAAATGCACACTCCGCTATGTTTCTTTTTGAGAAAAATAATCGAAAAGTGGAAGTTCGGTTTGAATCGGTATGTTCAGTGTGATATAATTAACTATATTTTGTGACTAATGTTGAACTAATAATGCAGTCAACTAATTGTTCAACCTTTAGAAAATTATGTGTGCATGAATTGCTCAATCGTGTCCAATGATTGATCTAGAAGCTTCACCAGGATAGTTACATTAAAGGAAAACGTATGACGAAACAGATTTTCGGGTGTAATATTCCAAGCAATTGGCCAAAGGAACACCGATTGAAATAATATAACAATAAATAAGTTGTTTACCAACAAGCAAATGGCAGATGTTGGGCCCAAAATACGCACGGACCTCTAAACAAATATCTTCAGTATACTTTGATATACTTTGAATTTATCAGCAAACTGACAATAATACACAAAGTGCTCACAAGTTCTATACAACAGCGTAAAACATAAAGTTTATTCACATATAGTCATCTGCTATTAAAATAAGGTTTATTTCCTGAACGCCATTTTACCCGTCAAACACAATGGAATCCCTTTGCCAAAACGTTAAGCTTATTTTTTTTTGACTTCTTTCAGACTTTGGGTCATCCTGTTTCTTTGCAAAGTGAATGCTGTTTTCATTTCACTTACAAATATCCATTTTTTTTTCAAACAAAACGCAACCAGTTTCGAGATAAGATCAATGAGATCTTGGTCTCCAGACATTCTTTCTGAAGGAAAAGGAATTCTGCTACTTCTGGTTAAGAGTGATGGATAATAACGTGTATTCAGAACACAGACTCTTTATTTTTTGAATGCTCTGTCTGAAAGCAAATAAACAGACATCGAAAGAAATTAAAATATTTATATTATAAATGTGTTTATCAGTTATATTATTTTGGTTTAGATCTTTCTAAGTTAGTCTCTTTGAGCTGCTGGGTTTCTTGTAAATACTGAGCGCTCGCCCATCACCAACGAGCGAAATAAAGCTAAAATATTTTTTTAAAAAAATCAGGAGAAAGGAAAACATGGAGAAAGTGGATAATATAACCAATTTGATTAAGCATACCAGTACTTCGCAAACTGACGCCCCCTCCCTTGCACTTCCATTTCAGAGGGGCTCTATCGGCGTCAATTCTCCTGAGTCAATTTCATCGGGACGTTTAAGACCTCCAGACACATATTTATTCCCATTAAGAAGAACCTTTTGGGTCAGAACTAGATATACTCCTTACGATTTGTGCAAGAGCTTAGTCTATGTTAAACACCCCTGCAGCCTTGTTACAGTTTTGCCTCAGGCCAGCTGAGTCTTTATCAATTGTTTAATACCAGTCGCGTGAGGCGTTTTTGGCCAGGTATTTATGTTCAAAATATGCTGAGTGCATTTATATAGGGTTTATAGTCGTAGCTGATTCACAACCTCATCAGGCAACCCAATGTGTCTGTTCCACACAATGAGGATCGCATACCGTAGCCGGACCCTTTATTATATGCTCCTGGCTGTTCACGGATACGCCGTCCGACTTGCTCGTCTGGTTTCTTTGACTTAACATTGAGCAGAAAGATAGAAATAAATGAATCTTGTTAAAGTACTGTAACTGAAAATCATGCAGAACTGCTAAAATGAAAAGGATCAGCTAGTTTTTTAAATCCTCAACTCTACAAGAAACCATGACAATTAAACGGCTAGAGGGCGAAGAAGGGTAAGGTTTTTGCAATTTGTTATATGATTACATGCATTCGTTCTTTACCTAACTGCCTAGAGCCGGTTTGGAGCAGGTACTGTCCACCAAACTACTTTGCATCGATACGATGCATGTCACTAGACATCACGTAATAATCTATTTATACACTCTACCTGCCAGAGCTCGCCAGCGCTGTCTGGGGTGTCGTTTAAACCAGACAAGTAACAGCATGGCCCATTGTAATTTTCCCATTGCGCCCCACCGAAAAACAGTTCTCAATTGTAACCTCCGAACAAACGGGGCGGGCAATGGAAACATCGGGTTGGGTCTTGCAAGGCGTTAAAGACAGGTCAAAACACGACGTTAACCCAAATTAGACTACACATGATGAACTTACCTTCTCTTGTACATGAAAACCCCGGTGAGCACCAGTATAGCCGCAATTACCACCGTGCATGGCACAACAACAGCGATGATGGTCGTTGGCAGCTCTTGGTTACCAGTGACGTCCTCAGGGTTCTCCTCTTTATCAAGCTCTGGAAATCAAATCCACAATCATTATTAACTATACAACACAATTTGAATGCTTGATTCGTAAACCCCACAAACCACCCCGGTGTTCTCAGACGGCCATGTTAACACTTTTTTTGATGTAACTTTTAACACTCTCAGTGCATTTTTACATCTGCAGATTAGTAACACTTGCGGTGTTTAACTAACACATTTCGGTGTGGTCAAGTCACAAAAGCAAAACATGTTTTTTGGTATCAAAGCGTTTGTAGTGTTTCTTTGATCCATTATGACAGGCTGATTTTTTTTCACTTTAGACAGTATATAGAAATACGCTTCGTACCAGAAGTACGTCAGTTTGCCGCAGTTTTGCAATATATTGCATTCACGACCAGTGGCGTAGCCACGGGGGAGGGGGGCTAGGGGCACGTGCCCAATTCCTGGTTCTCCAGGTGCCCCCCCCCAAAAAAAAAACGGATGGATGAATATTGAACAAGGCTAACAAAACCTTGCCCCCCAAAGCCACACCACTGAAAGCTGGTACCCCCCATAGGATGCTGGTGCCCCCTACGTCTACATTGGGCTGTTTGCTACAGAACTCACCTCTGAAATAAAGAATACCAGTGGCGTATCCAGCGCGTCGCGACCGCGAGTAAAGCTTTTGATTTTTTTCTCTCCCCGTAATCATGTTAAATGAGCCCGAAGCCGCAATCGCTTTTGAATTCCCCCGCCCCACGCACACCAAAAGCTGGATACGCAGCCGAAGAATACATTTTTAACAAGCTGTTTGCCGAAGTTCATTTTGAGGGACATATCTGCCTTCACTTCGCAATTGGGAAGTATGTACCCACCCACTAACCTGGAACACAAGACGTATGAACGCATGCATAGTGTTTGGATGTACGAAATCTTCAAACCGGCAAACTTGCACAACATCGTGTTCATTTTATAATTAACAGAAATCTTTGAGTTACCTGGTGACGAGGGTTGTGGAGATGACAGAATTTCTTCGCAGCGACTGCCGACAAATCTCTGGTCGGGGCAAATACAGGCATACCCTTGGCTGTTGGTGAGGCACATGCCACCGTTAACACACGGGTTGGACATACACCAGTCAACATCCCCTGGAAGTGAACGAATAATAGTAATAATCTCTCGTACTGCTGCCGTGACATCAGCTATTAGGTAGCCTTCGCGACGAACGCATGTCAAAAGAACGTATAGTTGAGCCCAAAATTATTCATTTACAACCACAAGACCCTAGAATTGACAACCAAAAGTTTATATCTCTGCCCATGCAGGTGAGCTTTCGCAAAGGAATTACTGTTTGTGTGCCCGGGGTGACCACCACACCAGTTTGTTTTAACAAATAGCAAACTGCCACATTTTTCAAAGGGTGTGAATAATTTTGGGGGCTTCACTGCAGCTCACCATGCTTTGTCTTGGAATTCACAGAGTAAGTACGCGCTAAAACCGTAGGCATGGAATCGACAAGATCAACAACTTTAACATGTGTGGCAGTTTTTATTTAAATAACGTGATTGGTATCCATGACACGGTGATGATGAAGAGCGCCAACTCGTGTTAGATGGTGTCCATGCAGCCCCCTCCCCCAGCAATGCATCCTGCCCGACCTTTTAGCGCCTGTATTGCAAATTTCAAGATTTTCTCCATCCCTTTGTTGTCGACTTATAATGATCGTGCAGTACCGACAGCTCATCACCTGTTGTGACTGGAACTGTACAGACGCGCCCGCATCCGTTGGAACAACATCTCAGCGGGAATGGGCAGGACCAGTCGTCGGTACAGTCATCGCTGCACATCCCAAAGACACCATCCCTGACTTCAGTCTTGGGGCAGGAACCTGGCCTCACTGGTAATGAAAACACCAACACAGAGAATGATCCTATTAGGAGAAAAGGTCTTTTGTCTGAAACTTATAGTCTGGCGCAGGTTCCTACAACGACGCGTCATCTTTTGACCCACAATGCATGCCCATCGGTGCGCCAGCGATATCGTCTAATTGACCTACCGAAATTCCGCCTAATTCCAAATGATGTCATTTTGGAAAATACTAACCTGCAACGGCCTGACTATATTCACATCGTTTTCCAACGTATCCAGCTAGGCAAAAACAGCCGTAGCCATCAAACGTGGCCACACAGGTACCGCCACTGCTGCATGGGTTGGAATGGCACGCATCCACACTCACTGAAAATAATGAATTCAAAATTTGACAGCCTAATGTCAGTCTGCTAAATCTCAAATCATTACAGAGACACGCTAAGTCATATCACAATTCCAGATCAGTGAATCAAGAAAAGTCTGGAAGACGAAAATGACTGCTTGCTAAAACGGCTTACAAAGCCACGAGTTTCATACTCTGCAGCTTTGGTTCATGAAACTTTGAAACTACCACAGCACAATTTTTGTGGTCCGACTAGTATAAGGTTTGTAAAATCCATATTTCTCCGTTTCGGCTTCGCTTTCCTCTCAATACGTGGTCATGTTTTGCCACAAACCATTGGAAATGCAGCCTAACAACCTAAGGGAGTGTTTTTAATGACAGAGAAGAAACTAATTGGAACCAGCAGCGTACCAAGCTTTTGGAGTGTGTGAGTGGGAGGAGGGGGTGAATTCAAAAGGGAATGCGCTTTCAGGCTCATTCAACATGATGTTGCGGGAGAACAAATATCGAAAGCCTTACATACGGTCTCGACATCCTTGCTTTAATTTCATGGTGTTGTGTTCTGAGGGTTATGGTGCTAATATTTCATGAATAAGTATACCGATTAAAAATCCGCCAGGGGGAAGGTGCCCCCCCCCCGCTGGGAACGCCACTGATTGGGACTGAGAAAAGCCTACGATTTGGCCATCCAGAGAGACAAATGAATTTGGGCTAGAAACCTGACTAATTGCCATTTCATTATTCACAAAGCCGGCACAAATCTGAAGTGAAGGTAGAGGCCTCGTTGGCTGAGTTCGGCTGAGTTGCTCTCGTTTGTTCACCGTAACAGCTCGATTTGTTGTTTGTGGGTCGGTCGCTCGAACGCCGGGAATGTACAACCGGTTATTAACGCTAGTAGTTATTTGTGGCAAGCAACATGCAACGTGGCAGCGTCCTTGTGCATTCTTCGAGAGTTAATGTCGAATAACTTGGCTAACTTCTTTTCCATTTAAAAAAGATTTCTGTTATGGAAAATTATTAATGTTAATTTTACAAAACTTTCCATTATCTCCGGCTTTGTAAAGTCATATCGATACTTTTTGCGGCTGTTCAAAAATCAAATCTCACGAGTTTTTCCGTGTGTTCGTGTAAAATCCTGACGAGGAGGTGATTTGTGATCCTGTCCCGAGAACAGTGTTCTTGAGTCGTGCTCCCGCCGTTCGATCGCTGGAACAAGAAACCCCTGTCAAGAACAGACCGCCCGAACTGGACCTAAGGGCTGCATTTGAGATTTTGTCGTCAAACGGGCCGCGTTAGCAGACGGAGGGAAGGCGCAATTTTCCTAGCAAACGTTCGGTTTGGTCGCGTTGCTACCAACCAAATGAACACTTTCCAACCAACGTGGCTTTTTCCAACCGGTGAGGGGGTGCTTCTACTCACGGCAGATATTCCCGATCTTACAAGAGTACATGTACTAGCTTTAATATAGGTCATGCATGGAACCCGTTATAATGGTTGACGTACCTGCTGCCGGAGCAATGCAGGAGTGACCACACCCATTGAAGCAACATTTCATCTCCCCGGGACATGACGAGTCTCCCTCACACTCTTCAGCGCAGGTTCCAGAGGTATCGGTTCCAACTGCTGGGCAGAAACCCGCCTTCTCTGTTACAAACAGACGGCAAAAGAGCGTCGTTATGAAGTGCTGCCAAGCTGGCTAAAGACTCTAATGTTGTATATAGTCTAATAATGTCTTCGAGTCAGTGGCTTTTTATCCGGTCTCAAATCATTTCCCAGTGACCTGCCATCTCAGTATTCCTCTATATGCACGTGCTCATCATTTTGCCCCTGACTGGACGTTTGATTGGGCTTGAAGGCAACAGGATATAATTTCAGGACTTGAATGCATGTCGGCAAGTTTTCTGTCAGTGTTACCATAAGTTTTCATCTCAGTTGTGGCTTTAAGAGGGAGAAACCATATTGATGAACTAAACTGATGTGATGTCATCCGAGGCAGAAGAACATTAGTGGCTCCATAGCTCTCTCTCTCTCTGCGAACATGTACCACACTTTTTTACAGGTCCTCAGAATAACTTTTTTAAAAACCTGTTTATCGTGTTATAATACCTTGTTTGGTAAATAGCAATAACCAGTATTTCTTCAAAACTTTGGGGCAGACAAATTTTTGTACTTTTTCTTATACTCTCATGACAAGAAGTGCCACGTGTGGAAGACAAAAAGCACACTCTAAAATGTATTAATGAAAGGACTTTCTAAGAATGGTAAAAGGACCAACTCCTTGTCATCAGTCTCAATGAAAAGAAGTATTTAAAGCCTGTTTAATTAGTCCTGCTGTAAGATTTGATATGTGTTTGGAAACAAGTCTAACTGATTATCCACTACATAATTATTTCTTTTGTAGTTTTGTTGACATTACAATGCTACGGCAAAACGCACTCATTACGAAATAAACAGCCACAACAATTTTAATTTAGACCGGAAGACAACTGCCACCCATGCCATCCGTACAATCACTATTGGCATCGCTGTTGTGGATTCGTACACGAGCCCTTGAAGATTCCAGCATCCATCAACAGAGCCTCGGAGAGAGTCTAACAGTACTCTCTTGCACCGGTTTCCCCAAATTTGGGCACGCCGTCATTTCCGGTTGTGCTAGTTACATTCAACACAGCTTGTGCAACAAATTCAACCCTGAAAGCTGAGTGAACAAGGATTAAGAGGTTGTGTCGACACCTACCCATTTCGTCGCCGTTGCCGAATTCGCAATTGGGTCCATAGTGTCCTTCTCGACAGGTACAGCGATAGGTGTTGGCAGAAACAATGTGACATATTCCGTCATTTCTACAAGGGTTCGGCTGGCAGATATCTATAAAAAAGATAAACGGGCACTTTTACTCTCGTCACACAATTTTAATGTCTCGACAGAACTACGAACAAACTAAGTGAAATGCGGGTCTGTTGCAAAAGTTTGTTGATTTTTTTTTAAAGGCAGAGTTTGAAGAATGTGGACTTCATTAGAAACTTTAAGGGGAGATTAAAAACTTTGGGAAGTAACAACGTCAGAATATCGTAGAAAACATAGGTAGTTTGAGAATATGCTTCATTCCAACAACTTTCATACTGCGGAGGTGCGCGCAGAATCGAAGATTGAAATCTTCGCCTCGTACTTGCAAGCAGTCACCGAGAGTCTAAGCAGGGTTAACGCGGAGAGTCGGCTGCAAACTCTGGGCCAATCAATTTTCTTGTCTAGATTGCCTCCCCAACGGCTCAATTAATTTGCCCGAGGAATCGGTTTAAAATATTTATACATTAACCGGGGTTACAATACACGTTCAGCGGGCGATATCCATGCACTCTATCCTACTACACCAAGGCACTGCTCATCGCTAATAAAATCGGACATACGGGCAGGGTTGGACGATCATTTGGAGGGTCTACTGCAGTTGTAGAACCGCTGTTAACCCCAATTAAGAAGGAAAGGCACCGATCCGTTAGTTACCGGTCACTCACAGGAGTCACCACATGACCGTTGGGTCAGTTGAGTATGTCCGTGTCATTTAAGGAAGAGATTGGACCGTTTAAATGCATAACTTTACCCGTAGTATGCGTAACGAATAAGTCTCTCTCTTCAGGAAAAAAAACCAACAAAACAAAACGAAAGAAAACAAAACAAAGAAACCAACAAACAAATATGGTAACGCCGCATCTGTTTATTTTTTCTTTGTTTCAAACTTATTTGGTACTGCGAAAAGTGGCAATAAATACCCAAAATAGGATACAAATTGTACACAAACTACCGATTTCATGGCAACGGTGCCATTTTGACTTTCATTTCCGATATGGCGATCTTCTCAACGTAAACTTACTCGTCTGTCCAAATGTTCTTGCGAAGAGGAACACAATCGTCATCAGGACACTGATCGACATCATGTTGCGTATTGAAATTTCTTACAGCTACAAATCGTATCCCCGTGTTCTCTGACAAAACTCGTCTGTTCCAACCGCTGAAATCGCATAAATTGGGCCTATTACAAACTGACGCAGACCATGCACCGTCCGCCTATATTTTTGCGAAGGACTTCCTAGTACTGAAAGGTAGGTATTATCATAACAAAGAGTGACGCATGTTTGTATCTGGTGCAGTTTTTGTGTGAAATGCACTGGGGCAGAGAAATTGAACTTGACTGGAATGCCTGGTTGGATTTCACAGTGACAGTCTATGAATAGCACGCTACGTCACAACAAATGCCACTCTAGGCATACCTTATAAGGATTGATAGTTTGAGGGGTTCATATGGAATCATGTCAAACATATTCTACTTTTCATTTTGTTGTTCTGCTCTGTCATGAACTTATTTCCGATTACAGGTCAGGCAGCATTTGTGCCTGTCAGTTTTATTTTTGACTCTCGTATGTTTGTGATACAAGCAAGTTGAATGTGATGTATCCCAACACAATTTCATAACACCACATACGAAGTTACCAACTCATACTCGCTTAATAAGAAAAAACAATGGATTAGGATTTCTTCTTCATCTGAAGCGTAAGAGTTGATCGAAAAATGTTGCCTTTAACGGACTGAGAGAATACCAACGGGGGTTTTAAAATGTTGAGCGATTGTTTGGATATTTAAATTCGGGCAATAGTTAAAAGGATTCCATGTTCAAACTTGGAAATTCCCAACAGGGGTACACGATACGCACCGCCGTGCGTATTCATTTCACACAAACCGGGTTCTGCGCAATATTTCACGCGATGTATTACACACGCAGCGTTGAATTCAACTCGTGGGAAATACCTCTTTCAAAAATATTTCTGAAGGACAGTCCTTGAGTTCGGGTAGTATCCGGGTCTCGGCTTCAACTTTTTTTAGCAATATGCTACCTTGATGTGAATACATCTGTAGGTCAGCGGGTAAAGTTTCATCTTAAATCACGATTAAAGAGCCTTAAGATTGGCACCGAGAAGAATTTAACTCTGAAATAATATATAATTATATATATTTTCCCGGTGGGCAAACATGGACAATCCAGAGTATACAGATTGGGCCGGATTGAGTCAACTGCTCATCCCAAGACAAACACGGTGGATTATCCTTCGTTTAAATCACCAAGATTGTCAGGCAAGTATCGTTACCACGTCTAGACACTGCAGGTCTCATGTAGACAAATGAAAGTTACGTATACATGAGACAATGATGCAGTTTACAATTTGAAATAAATTTAATGTTTTAAAGCAAAACAAACTACGGAGACATCTCATTGAGAGAAGGGTCCAATCACACAGGTCAGAACTTGACAATTTCACGAGGGTGAAGCTGCATCTTCACCAATTCAAAAGTATCTTTCTCACCTCCCAAATCACACATTCTGTGCGAGTGGAGTGGTCAAAATCCTATAAACAATAATGCAGCAGGTAAGATTTTCGAAGATTTGGTAGGTCCAACTCTCGTGTTCTGTATGTACGGGGTACTATAGCGACGCGGCTGTACAAGTCTGTAAAGTCAGTATAGTGCGCAAAACCTTGCCGAAGTTTGAGCACGCGCGTGCAGACGCAGTCGTGGAACGTTGCTTGTCGTGTCCTATTCGAGAAGTTGAATGGAAATAACCATGGAGCTGTTTTAACCTGGGTTTCCTCTGTTGAACGTTGTACCAGCCTATTACATAAAGGCACCGCTTCCTTTTAATATGTGTGAGATGTATACTTTTGTGAGACGTAAGACTACGATGCCTTATTATCCTTACGCTTAAACAAACTTTCGATGTTGAAGCTTTCGTTTGGCTTTTGGATTTATCTCTTGACACAAAAGGAAGAAAAACAAGACGAGATGAACAGACATTGCATAGGGTGAGTCTTCAAAGACTTTTGTCAAACACGATGGCTCTCTGAGTGCACTTTGAATGTCAAAATATCTCAAAGATGCTTGAGAAAAACCACACCCTAAATCAACTACTTCGAGATATGCAGTCCAGGCGTCGTCATGGCAGCCGTGACGTCATTAGGACTCCTCGGCACTCTGGACCAATCGGGGAATCTAAATATCGAAGGACTGAAGTGTGGAGATCGGGTGTAGGAATAGAAAAGTGACGAGCAGGTTAAGTCTGCCGATTCATATCGTGAACTCAAGTCATCATGGCTCGTTTGCTGCTGACAGCGTGTCTGGTGCTACTTGCTGTGTTGGCTGTCCAAGCACGGCCAGAGAATAAACGTGCGGTAAGTCGGAGGTTTTAGATCATTCGCAAAGAAACTGTGCTATAGTTATACATAACACACACACAAAACTTTTATTTTGAAAATTACTTATAAGTTTACTTAGAATGGTTCACACAAAGGTACCATAAATGGGATAGAATTTCTCAAGCAGACGGAAATACCACAAGAAAAGATATCGAAATGACTATTCTCTCATACTGAATCGCAGCGAATCATGTTTGGTAAATTATGAAACAGTTCGGAATGTATTCCGTGAGGGTATGTATGTATTGTACAATTGCAATTCAACAAAATTGTCTTAATGAACGAGGTAGGGAACATTTAGATGGTTAACTCGACAATAAAGCAAAATAAATTGATGTTTTGGCCTTATCTGGAAGACTCTGCGTGAAGCGTCGTTTGATATACACAGCTAGAAAAGTCCTCATTCTGAATATTTAACTTTGGAATGTTTTTTTGTGTGTTTTGCTCAGTCTTTGTGTAAACTACTACTCTTAGAATCTCTTTGACGTCTCGGGCCTCATCCCTCCAGTTTTTGCTGCCTTCAGCTTACTTCGTGAGGGCGTCACTCATAACTCAGTGTAATAAGCTTCATGAGACTTAATATCTATTAATAAACCCAAGAGAACTTTTTTCCCGTTTCCTCAGGAAGTAAAAGCTCTTATGAAGGCACTAGTGCATGCTAAGGCCAGAGCACTAGGTGAGTGAATGAAGGGCCAGTAGATCATGTAGGACCTAAAGACGGTGTTGTTTTTTTTTTCTACCTTTGGCCAAGTTGGGGCGCTCTAGAACCCCATGGTGGTGGTGCTGTCGTTCTACGTGCAGAAATGGATAGCCAAGCGGTAAACAGAGTTTACGGAAGACTGTTTGCGCTGGGCAAGAAATCACATGATGTTTGCACCGTCAGTTCATTTGAATTTATGGGCGGAGTTTGGGAATCGGTTGGATCACCAAACTAGTGGACTTTGCCAAGATTTTTGTTTGCTGTATCTCGTGAATTTTCCTTAGAATCTTTCTGATGTTTGCGACGATCCTTAGGGAGTGAGTTCAAATTCGCTTCATTTCCTCTTTCTCCTCGAGCTTAATCTGTAAACAGCGTAACGCTACTTTTCCAAAGAGTAAAGTTGCTTTATTTAAATCGTGTGATTGCGAAGCATCAGATAATAAAGGCAGGCATTTGAATGGTTGACCCAACAGCTGACAAAAAACGTGAGATGACAAAATCCCTCAAAGCACGTGCCATGAGCAGGGACGCCCTCATGCGTCGAGCCGGTAAGACAGCTTCAACTGTCGCATCTTTTACCTGATCAGTCCAGCTCACTCCAACTTCAACCCCTCCCATCTAAACTAACTCAACCTCGTTCAACGCCACCCATCGAAACCGCCTCAACACAACCCAGCCAACCTCAACGCAAACCCAACCGACCTAAATCAGTACAACCCATCTCCAACCTACCTCAAACAAGCCCTTTCCGACGGATTACCCCAACCTTTACAGCTATCCACCAACTCAACCAAACACAGCTCAACCCAAGCAAACCCAACCACCTACCTACCCATCCGATCCAATTACGCAACCCATCCCATCCCAACCCGACCAAAGTAAACCAAACTAACTTGCTCCAACCCAACCCAATCCAACCTTATCCCCACTCAGCCCTGCAACTACACCTAATTAACTACACCTAAGCCAAACCAGATAAACGGAACAAATTCTTTATAGCCCTATACCACCTATCGGGCTCACGATTTGGACTGGCCTTACTTTCTTTCAGCATCGCTGCACATTATGCACATTAAAAAATGTTTCTAACAGCTTTTTACATTTTGAATCCATTTTGATTTTAACACTTTTTTACCCATGTGTTTAAGATGCGTTAGGAGTGTGGTTGAATGCTACACGGTTTTCACAAAACTACACGTGTGCACTGGAAATGCATTTAAACATTTAAGTTCTATATCTGAACACGTCGTGGTTGAACGTGTTAAAAAGAGGTTGGTTCAAAATGTGACTGCAAATTTGCTTGAACACTAAATGAATAATCGAAATCGAGGTATAGTGTCGTGATAGACTTTGCTGAGTCATGGTCACATCAATCATACATCCATTGTACGAATCCCAGCACAAACTGAAGTTCTTCAAACTTCATTTCAATCTTCAGAAGCGGCCCTGAGCAAGCGCAGTTTGAGCGAGGACAAGAAGCCCGAATCGACCCTCAAGAGAGATAAATTGGCCCGGGAACTCGAAGAACGTGCCATGATGACACGCGCACTCAAGCGTCACCTCGCAGGTAACCAATTTAGGAATGGTGAAGGTTACCACCGGGCCAGAGTCATTTTCTTTCAAAATTGTAACTTTTTCTGGCCGGTTTCCGTGACTGCAGAGCAGATCACGAAGATGTCAAATAGCACAGATATGACCGATAAAAGAGTTTCTTCGATGCTTAGGCGATACCTGCAAGCGGTTTCAGGCGAATTGCTAGTCACTTGAAACCTATGCAAACCAATACTTACTGGACGTAAGCAATATGAGTGGTTCCCACTATTCAAAGGAGTGTCTTTCGACGTTGATTGCCCGAGTGTTTTTCTCAATCTTGCAAGTTTGACACAATTTACCCAGACCAAGGCCAGATGTCACCCGTGACAACGTAGTGACGTGTGTTTTCACAAGTTCGCCAACTTATAAAATGTTCATACACTTAAACACTATGACGGCTGAATTCTTGGGAGCAGAATCCGCGCCCGGCTGTCAGATGGTCCAGCATTACTTGGCGCAATGTGGGTCAAGGAGAAAAGTGACCTCAAATTATTTTTGAAAAACCAAACATAACAAGCTGTGATTTTTGAGCAAACCTAAAGGACTTCTTATAATAAAGTGTTTCTAATGTTTTCTTATTTGCTAGTTACAG